TTTTCTTCTTGTCACCCACGGGTTCCCCATCGCAACAACATATTCTTTTCTTCTTTTAGAGCATTCTTTAATAACTTTCCTTTCTTTCTCTTTATTCTTTAAGTTCTAGTACATATGTATATGCATGTATGTAGATGGCTCATGCTCATTATTCTTTCTAAATGCAGATGTTTAAATGCAAGGATGCCATGTCGTAGCATAAAAATAAGTTTCTCTCTACCATCTACAACTCATATCAATTCATAAATGAATAAAACTCATGCATACACTTCTCTTGGACAAAACTCATGCATACACTTCTCTTGGACATTTCATCAAACATATTGCATGCATAATCAAACTCTAATTTGGCTACAATTCTATCTCTTTCTCAAGTCACAGATATATGGAGTAAAACTCCATTAAACAATTACTAAACTGTCCAAAATAATACACTCCCAACAATTCTACTCAACTCCTTCTAACTTCAACTAAACTTCAATTAATCATCATACAACCAAAACCACTTCTCATGGCTAAATTCTACTCATCAATAATTCATCAATTTCATCAACAATTCTCAAAATCATAAGCATATACACATATGTAAAATCTCTACCCACTTGATTTCTCAAATCATAACTTGGGTTGGATTTACTTACCTTATGCCTGAGTTGTTCCACAAAAGCTCTCTATTTTTGTTGGACTTGTTTTCTTTCTCAAACCCTAAGCATAAACTCTATTAGAATTCCATACTAATATAAATTAATCTCATGCTTAGAGCAAGAATCCTTACCTCTTGATCTTAGGATCAAGTCCTTATCAAAATCCAACCAAAAGCCCTCAATTTCCTTTAGCAAATTGGATGAAGAATTGAGAGAAATGGAGAGTGGAAGTGATGTATGGGGTGTAGAGAATGGGAGGGTTTATAAGACTAAGGTTTATAAGACTAAACCCTTAGTAGCTCATATAAATAAACACTCTTTCCCATTTTGCCCTTGCACTTTCTTAGGAATTCCATCTTTACCCTTTAATTCTTTACAAGTACACCCCCATCTCCAATGCATTCTCCATAAAATTTTCTTACATTTCACTCCCCACTTTTCTTGTTAATTAGGGGTAGAATGATCACTTCACCGCTATGGAAAATTTCTCTAGAAATTTCAAAGGAAATTCAGTCGACTCTTCGCCCCGGTGAAGATTTTTCTTTGCCTCGGTGAAAATTACAGAGCGTACGTCGCCGCGGCAAAGCTTATTCTTCGCCTCGGTGAAGTCCGTAATTCACAACTTCACCAAGTCTTCACCAATTTTAGGGCAACCAAACCATAAAATCAACAAACAAAGTTAACCAAGGACTCACCAACAATATTTCAAGGCAAATAAACATGAGTAAGCCATGTACCTCAACATGGGCGTTACATAGATCCTCTTGATGGCTTCAAGAATCAAGGTTTTCAATGAGTCAAGAAGAGAAAAAATATTTCTCTTCAATCAATGAGTGAGGCGTGAGAGAGAACAAAAGGTGGCTAGGGTTTTTAATTATTGAATAATCATTATATTCTCTTTTGTTTTAATTTAGGTTGCACTTATATAGTGCAACAATTAAAACCTTATTCCAATAAGGAATAGTCATGGGCTCCAACCCTAATTCACCCTTGCAACCAAACACACCCTTTATGGTATTTCAATTTTAATTAATTATTAAGATAATTAAAATCAATTAATATATAATAATATATTAACATTTAATTATTAATAATAATCTATTTAAATACATGTGCACATATATTTAAAAATAATCTCACTAATTTTAATTTTAATATTAAAATTAAATACAAGCAACAACCTCAGCAAATTTAATTGCACTGTGAGATTACCAAAATACATTTTCATCATAAAAGACGAAAATACCTCTTTCACAAAAACGATTCTTAAATTATCTTCTAAGTGTGTGACCCATAGGCTCCTCATCATATCGGCAGTGTGTAGTATCGCGATTAACACCAATCAATCGTCTCACTACACATAGACCAAGATTGACCGCTAGCAAGACATCATGGTCATTCGATAGATTCGGATTCAGCGAAACCGCAACCTGTCAACGATATGGTTACCGTGCAATCAAATCATTTCATCATCTATTATCTCGGCGAGACTGAGGTACAAAAATAATATCGACCTCAGATATCCTCGACATGTTTGTATTCAGTTACTAGACCAATGACAGGAATATTAAATTGGATTGAGCAACAACTCAATCCCACTGTGGCCACAGATTTAGTGTCATTGCCATTTTCTGAATTACCCAGTGAGATAACTTCTCTCATACCCAGGAGTGATAAATCCTTTGTCGATCCACCATAGTTTCGATACACTTCTCAATGTAGTCAATCACTACTGTATTGATAGCTCTGAATAGAAATACGTTGGGCTAGTGTCAAACTACATCAATTGGTGCACAAGGCGCTCCGGTGATCTCAAGTCTAAATCATATGCACCACTATCCGTTAGAGGATTTATTCCATAGACACTAGGGTTACCATCCATATGGAATCCTCTGGTGGGTCTGTCCAATGAACTTGCCTCTAGCAAGCACCCATGCGTTGTACCATGTTGTCGGCAAACAACCTTGACAAGTGAGATTAGTCACTGCTTTTCAACAGGGTCGTTTAACACTATGATAGTCTTACCGTATTATATATGTCCTTGGTCAGAATAATACTGGGGCTACGGACAGTTCTAGAATGGCCACCATATGTGATCACAGGGTTCTCACTATCAAGATTTGAAATACTTGATACCCTCATCATAGTTTTACCATCCTAAAGGCATATATCATGATATATAACTATGATTTACACGATATAGAAGAATATGCCTTTTATTGATAAATAAACATATATTACAAAGTCAATTTTACAATAATAGATTGGCTCAAGGGCACCTACTCTAACCTGTTGCATATAAATTTTGGGAGTGACTTTTATGTAAACCCGTTTATCATGGCTTAAGCTAGTTTTTGGTCTTGACATCTATCCAAACCCATTTGTCAATGTCAATTATTTTTTGGGCTTGAGTTCTACCCAAGCTTGTTTATCAATGTTAAATAATAAATGAAATCATATCCCAAGAATAAATTAGGAAATTGATAAGAACTTTGATAATTAAAGAGAAAAAAGAAAAAGGAAGACAAAGAATAAATAAGAATTGGCAAAGAAATTCGGGAAAATTGATAAGACCTTTGATAATTAAAGAGAAAAAGAAAAAAGAAAAAGCAAGACAAGAATAAGTTAGAATTGGTAAAGAAATTCCCAACACTTTGATTTATACTAAAGAGCAATATGTGAAATCAAAAGGGAATAAGAATAAAACCAAGTGTTACTTCTTTTCTTTTGTCCGTATTTCTGACAATGCAACCAAATATGTGGTTATTTCTCAAGAAGTTTTGACAACCAAAAACCATATATACTTTGACTACCACACATCATTTTCATTCAATATTTTAGCACATAACAAAACCTAATACATTTGCGTCAAATACAAAAATTTACAAATACATAAGGGTCATGAAATCCTTAAAGCTCAAGTGATCATATCAAAACAGGATCTTGATCTCAAATCATAATTATATAAGATGCTTGGTATCATATTATATTATACTAGATATTTTCTAAAATCAAGTGCCTATTTTTATTTATTTTTTGTTGTGAGTTTTACAAAATATTGTAATTCATTTATCATATCCTATTATATTATCCATAGTTGGGCACTGTTTGAGTGGATAAGTAAAACTGAAGTCAAATTGTTCCTCCTTCCATTATTCAACGAATGATTTTCGAATTACAACTATAAGAATAAAAAAAATATAGGAAAGAAATTAAAAGCTTTTTTTAGTTATTTTAGAAGTCATCAGTGGCGGATCCAGCCACTTTTTGGGTGGGCCCTCAAATTTTTTTTTTAATATTAATATGTAAATTTATATATTTTGGCCTACCCTAAAAAAAATATTAATGGACAAAAATAGTAATGTATAATAAATTTTTATTTTGGCCCACCCTAAAAGAAATTTCTGGATCCGCTACTGGAAGTCATAGTAAAATCTATTTTACACTAGTCATACATGACAAAACATGTTATTCTATGTTTGTTAAAAGTTGTATTTGTTTGTTCCACGTCATCAATTTGATAGACTAATATGGTGTATATAGATATTTGACTCACTCATTTCTTAAGCTAACTTTTGAGAATGACTTACAAGTAAGCCCGTTTATCATGACCTAAGCTAGTTTTTGGGCTTGGCTTCTACCCAAACCCGCTTATCATTGTTAAATAGTTTTGGGGTTGGGCTTCTACTCAAGCCCGTAAGAATAAATTATTTGAATTCAAAAGAAAAATTGATAAGAACTTTGATAATTAAAGAGAAAAAAGAAAAAAAATTAAGACAATAATAAATTAGAATTGGTAAAGAATTTCGGGAACTTTAATAATTAAAGAGAAAAGAAGGAAAAGCAAGATAAGAATAAATTAGAATTGGTAAAGAAATTCACAACACTTTGATTTATACTAGAAAGCAATATCTGAAATCAAAAGGGAATAAGAATAAAACCGAGTATCACTTCCTTTCTTTTGTCCGTATTTCCGACAATGCAACCAAATATATAGTTATTTCCGACAATGCAACCAAATATATAGTTTTCACAACAAAAACCATATATACTTTGACTCCACACCTCATTTTCATTCAATATTTTAACACACAACAAAACCTAATACATCCAACAATTAAAAGTTGTTTAATTTAAAATTAACCCACTTTATGGTATCGTTGGTTTTTAACCTAAAATTAATTTTTGATTTATGAGAGATTGCATATTATTCCAAAAGCTATTTATAGAAATAATTACCTCATGCATGCAACATGATTTTCTTATGAGGGTTGATTATTTTAAGTGTTGCATTTATCTATTTATTGTTATTGATTATTGTCAATACGATTTGTCAATAGGGCAAAGAAGTTGGAGATGAGTGGTTTCTTTAAACTTGTCAATAGGGCAAAGAAGTTGGTTAAACTTGAGGATTTGGTCAAAGAGTTGCGAATTGACATTGACAAAAACTTGGAGCCTGAGCTTGATGCTCATCAGTGTTGTATTTATAGGGTTCATAAATATCTTTGTAGCGTAAATGAAGAAGCCTACACACCTCAATTAGTTTCAATAGGTCCTTTTCACCATGGAAAAGAAGAATTAGCTAACATGGAAAAGATAAAAAGACAATATGTGAAAAGTTTTGTTGAAAGAATAACAATAGATAATCGAGATAAAATTTTAAACTTTATCAAGGATAATGACAAAAACATTCGTAATTGTTATGCAAAACATTTGAACTAATTGGGAGCATTGAGTATGTAATGATGATTCTATATGATGCTATTTTTATCATAGAGTTATTATTAAGGGATCAACTTGATTTTGATGTAAGTGATTTATTACTATCTACACCAACGGCAAAAGCATCTTTATGTTTGGACTTTCAGTTACTCGAAAATCAACTTCCATACTTCGTCCTCGAGAAAATATGTGAGTTAGCTCTTGCTGGCCTTAACATGCATACCTTCATGTTTCTTTCATGGTATTTTTTCTGGCCTTTCAACGATTTGGAATTGAGTATATTAACACCCCAGGTGATAGTTAAACATTTAACCGATTGGAGAAGAACTACGATACTGGAACGCTACCAAAGATCTGAGCAGACGAACGGATGGATTAATGATTTACCTTGTGCATGAAGTTGCATGAGTCAGAGGTGAAATCTGAGTGTTTTAAAGGAGAACACAGCTTAATTGACATAAGATTGAAAAAATGAAAGCAACAAATCCAATATTTTGAAGTACTTGAGATGCAAATACCACATTTAAAAATATTCGACATCACCGAAAGTCTACTTAGAAACGTTATGGCTTTGGAGCAATGTCATTACCCATGGAATACTCATGTTTGCAATTACGTTAGGATAATGAATTATCTTATTGATACTGAAAAAGATGTGGACTTGCTTGTTGGAAATGGAATTATTTCCAATTATGATATGGGCGACAATGCTTCGGTAGCAAGTATGTTTAACAAACTTGGCCTATTTATCAGTGTCAGCGGATCCTCTTACTATGGCATTTGCGAGGAACTCAAGAGACACTATAACAATCCAGGGAATAGAAGGAAAGCAACTTTGAAAAGAGTATATTTCAACAATCTTTGGAGAGGCACAACAACTGTTGCAGCAGTTTTACTCCTACTGCTCACTATCATACAAACCATATGTTCTATTTTGCAAGTTGTGTGATTGTAATGTAATTGTGTATTGAAGCTTGTTGTCTTAATAATGTAAAATGCTTGCTAAGTATTTCATTATTTCTCATTCACTCACTCTAGCATGTTTCAATTATATCTAGTTATTTTTCTTCTCAAACAGTCAATATTTTAATATGCATTCTTAATTTTTTGTATGGATGGCAAAAATGCTGGATTCCACTTCCACATGAATTTCTATCCAATCTAGTACAGTCCATTCTTATAATCTAAGGATGGATTGGATTAGATTTTTGTGGATAATGGATTGGATTATGGATTACTCAATTCATAAATTTTAATATGCATGCTTAATCTTATTTTTGGTATTTTTAATCAAGTCTTTCTATTTTCATATTAATTTTTGTAATTAGTCAAAATACAAATTTTCCTTCATACTAATTTGTGTTTTAATAAGTAGTTAATAAATATTTAAAAATGTATTATAACAATATTAGTTATTAGAAAATGCTAGTTAACCATCGTTGATGGGTCAACAGTCTGTCAACCATCATTGACCGGCGATTAACATGAGTCAAAGGTAGCATGATGGCCCCACCTTTGATCTAGTCTAGATCAGACTTCTCCGATCTATAGGAATTTGGTTGAATCATCGAATTTTGGCGCTTATTTTGGACATAGAAGATGGTGGTGAATATTTCATTGCCTTTTGAAGCCAAAATCTGATGATTCAACTGGATTCCTATAGACCGGCTTGTTTCAATTTTAACAGGATCAAATTTGACTCTAGCGGGCCACCTTTGACCAGCATTGATCATCAACAGTGGTGCCCAACAACCATTGCCATTTCAAAATTTTTTTAATTTATAAAAAAATTATGAAATTCGTTGATTTTTTTTTTTTTTATTAATTTAAAGAATGTATAGATAATGTATAAGAGTAATACTAGCCTTACAAAGAGGCATACAAAGAGCCATATAAAGAGTCAAATCTAGCCCTTGAAATTCATAATTACCTCTTTCTCTCTCTCTTTTTCCCTTTTTTTAAGGGTTGGATTTGACTCTTTGTATGACTCTTTCTATGCCTCTTTGTAAGGCTAGTATTATTCAATGTATAATGGATGGGATATTAGATATCTGTATTCTAGTCCCATCCATATGGATTAATGTGGTTCATATCCATATTGATCCATTTCTTATATGGACTAGATCCAATCCAATCCAAATTACATAACACATCCCTGCTGTGTGGTAGCTGTGGCTTTCAAGGGGAGGAAATCAAATAAGGTCAGGATACTATCATGCTGCTATTAACCTTTACTTAAACTACCCGAGCATGTACTTAATGTTCATTTGCTTATTTATCCTAATCAAATTCAAGACTAATGGGATTGCCAGATTTTGACACCAGAAATTTTTTTTTGGCGAGTGACACGACACATCCAACACCAGTGTGATCAATGTCTGGTGATCAATCTATTAGTGCTAGCCGTGTAGCCTAAATCATCACATTTGTAGTTGTTTCTAGAAAACTGAAACTTCAAACCTTCGATGACTATGAAACTCGGACAAATATGTTTATCTTCAATGACTGAAGAGTAGCAAACTTTTGTAGTTCTATAATTTAATGACAAATCCTGAAAACGTAATGTATAAACTTTAACACAACAATTTTTATGTCACTTCTCAATGTTTCCACCAAGAAAAATCAGATTTTGCAGATCGTTAACATGTCCGTTGATCTGCATTTGTCTTCCAAAAACTTTATGAAAGATGTGACTAAGCCTTGGATTTCTTCCCTTTAGCTTCAGCAACTGGTTTTGCTTTGAAAGGCAGGAAGGTCTTGCCACCCATGAACGGTTGCAAGGCTTCTGGTACTTCCAAACCATCTTCCTTTTGGTAGTTCTCAAGGATACAGCAAATGGTCCTTTCGGTTGCTGTGAGTGTAGAGTCCAATAAGTGCAGATATTGCTTCGTCTGCTCATTGCTTTGCAATATTTCAAAATTACAAAAGCAAGATTGTGAGTTTGGAAGAATTCTGGCCACAAAAATAATATTAAAAGATCAGTGAATGCTCTGATTAATTTCCATACTACCTACAAAGTTCTACTGGTAAACAATACAACATGATACCAGCAGTCCACGTTAGAACCAGTACCTCAAACAAAATGGATAACAATCTTTGTGTAATACCAGCAGAAATTGCTAGCTTCTATATCATAAAGGAGTTTGTTTATTTTGAAAATGAATAGGGGCATCATACTACTGATCATATCATGTGGCTTTGCCCGCACTACATAGGAACAAGTAAACAGAACATACATTTTTCTGTCCATATCGAATCTCCAATCTTCTCGACTGATAATCTGTACAGTTTGAACATGACAACAACTCTCTATAGGTTTGCGATGCAGGAAACCATCCTTCTAAATCGTACTTCTTCGCAGCCGCATCATTCAAAGCACCAGAGACAATGGCCACAATTTGATAGGGGATGCCTAGCTGCATGTAAAATAAAATTCAATTAGAGCCAAACCTTTCCTCATTAATTAGTTGATTGCAGCTCACAACTTTGCTACTAAAAAGATCCATATAAGAATCAGACTTATGATTGCCGATTTAAGGCTTCAATATTTCAACGCCATCTTCCTTCTGGTAGTTCTCAAGGATCGATACAGCAAACGGTCGTCTATGTTATTGGGAGGGTACTAGGGTAGAGACCAACAACTGGACATATTGCTTCCTCTGTTCAGTGCTGTGAAACGGTACAAAATTACAAAAGAAAAACTTGACCTTGGTAGACCTTTTGCCACAAAAATCGATATTTAAAGATTAATGAATGCAGGTTCAGTTGCTCTAACACCAACCGAGTTCTACAGGCGAGCAATATAGTACTGTTCACTATCTAATAAGTGCAGCAAACAAAATGGATGACAATCTGTGAATCACACCAGCCGTAGCTACCAACAATCAAACTAAACATTGCTGCGAACTTCCCTTATAAATATAGGTTTGCCAATCCCGTAAGTAGGAACAACGAGTTGAACCTCCAATCTTTTTGACCGATAATCTGTACAGTTCAAACAGAACACCTATACTATCTATACGTTTGTTATCTCGGAAACCACACATCCAAATCACATTATACGTTTGTCATATTAATTTTTGTATTTTAAGCCTAAGTAATCAGTCAAAATACAAATTTTCCTTCATACAAATTTGTATTGTAATAAGTATTTAACACATTACCAAACACAGAGAGAGGGAAGGGTGTATCAGGTAGAGGAATCTGGATTGTTGAATATTGGTCTAATATATGTTAAGTCCTCATCTACTAGGTTAAACTTTTAAGTAGGATGACAACTTAACATTGTATCAGAGCCAAATGTCTCAAGTTCGAATCCTCACATACAATCTAGATATAGAAAAATGAAAAAAAATTCAAATTTGATGTGAGAGAGCTTATTGATCTAATATATATTGAGCTCTCGCCTATTAGCTTAACCTTTTAGGTGTTCCTTGGATAAGTGAACGACCTAAGAAAAGAATTTAGCATTACTTGTATTGGAGAGGGGAATCTGGATTGTTGAAATTCATTGTTACTCCTTGGGTAATTGAACGACCCAAGAAAAGATTTTAGCATTACTTTCATTGGAGGATTACCCCAGACGTATGTATAAAGAAATCCTATATTCTTTCCTTATTAATTTAGGATTGAAATGTGGACAAAAAAGGAGGCACTCATGAATGTCAAGATCAACACCTGAAATTACAGAAGAGAGAAAACTCATTATCATACAGAGAGGGAGAAAGATAACACATAGTAAGAAAATAAATATCTGTGAGCTGTGATTTTGAAGAGGAAGGAGCTCTTTGGACCTCTTAACTACATATTCAGGTTCACTTGGAGTACTTCTTTCGTTATATTTATATTCTTAATTTATCTTGCGATTTATTTTCCGCCAAAAATTCCATGATTAATAATTTCGATTAATTATCTTTCATTTTAATTATTAAATATTAAGGTGATGTTTGGTCAACAAAAATAAAGCCATAAAATGTAGGAATTAGATATAAGTAATGCTAGATTCACAACCTTCTCTCACAACCCTTGATGTGATAATTCGTCATTGATTAGTTCGTAAAATGGGTCTTGTCTGCTTGTAACTTAGCCATTTGCGAACTAACTAATGATAAACTGTCACATCAAAGGTTGTAAGAGAAGGTTGTAAGCGATGGTTGTAGAACTAGCATTATTGATTAGATATATGTTGGCCTAGTTAAAAAGAATTAGACTTGGGTTCGGATGAAAAGGAAAGTTTTGGAAAACTGATGTAACTAAGGTCAAAAGGACCCTGTAAATTTCATGTATCTAGTTTTAGCTACCTCTCATACGAGATTAAGTCCAACAATAATTCTATGTTTTTCATGTGGATTAATTATACAAACTTGCTTGAATAACCCATATATATCATTATTTTTAATTAAGAGGTATTAATTGGAGAGGAGGATCTAGGAAACTGCTTAATTTGCGGTCAAAATTTCAGGTTCAAATTATATTACTGCACTTTTTTTTTTTTTTTTTTTCATTTCTTATTATTATTATTTGAATTGATCCATTAGTTATTCATGCTCTTAACATGTTAATAATAATTGATAGGATTGCGTGCAATGTATAATATAATTTTATATCCCACTTAATTTTAGTTGATTTTATCTATTGGCTTTCTTACATCTTTTGATTTCCATACATGTGGAATGAAGATTCTTAGGAATATTATGAATATCAGTTTATATAAAAGCTATATATTTTCCATGTTATGGTTTTTTACTCTAAAAGTATTTAAGCTATTTTATTATGAACTATATGTATATATGAAGGCTGAGATACAATTTTTTTTTTAATTTTTATTATTATCATTATAAATTGAAAAGAAACTAATTAAACTAAATGTTTAAAATAATTATTATTCAGATAATTAAAGTATATAAAATAGTAAAATACTTTTTTATTCGACCTTTTTAGTTTTTATATATATATATATATATATGTTATGCCCGGGAAAATACAGGGC